TTTGCTAGCATGCAAGGAGTAAAGCCAAGATTTCTATTTCTAGAAATTGTCCCCATTTTACAAGACTGAAGACTTCCTGATTCCTGAAGGATGCTCCTGTTTGATCCCTAATCTAATTGCTTTCCATTTATCCTTTCTGTAAGCAACCAGAAAAGACCTGCAGGACGGACGGCATTTTGGTTCTGCTACCTTGCATTAGGCAGTAAACATCAGCCTAATTTAAAGCTTACTCTAAAGTCTGTTGCGAAAGACCAAAAGGAAAAGATAAAAGTGGAAGGAAGCTGAAAGTCTTGTGTTTCAATGTACCTACTTAACGACAAAAAAAGCCATGTGGCTTGCTGCCTTACGAGCAGACGCTATGGCGTTGTTTGCATATTAAAAGCAAACATATAGTCAGAGAAGTGGGAGGTAATTAAAGGCAGCTCAGCAGGGAAGGGTAGTTAAACAGAAGGATTTAAAAAAAAATCTCAGTTGAAAAATGAGCTGATTACTTAGCGTATGACAAATCTGACCTTTTCCAGAAAGTATTGACCCTTCAGACTGGTTCAGTTTAGCTGCATCACTGCAAAAGCGTAAAGGGAAGAGTCCTCCTTGCACCAAAACATTTGGGATTCACAGCACCTTCTCATGTCGTGAAATTCTGGAACCAGCACAGACACCTCGCTGTCTTCTCCGGTGTTGACACCTCAATCTCAAAACTCCTCCACAAAAGTACTAGCGGAGATGTAGCCGCGGCTACTCCACCAAGAACCTCCAGGCACTAGGCATGCCTCTGGATTTCTATTTTTCTGGTCCGGAGAAAGTAGCTCTGTTTTCACCCAGTCTGACACAAGGCCAAAAGAGGCAGAGATTGGCATAACCCCGGTGGCGGAAACAAATCTTGGGGCTACACTGGAATCAGGATTTCTGTTGTGACTTAGAAATAGCAGCTCTCTCACAGAATGTGACCATAAAGGTCTCGGCTCACCTGACAGAATTTGACGAAAGATTGGTCCAACCCTCACGGGGCCTGGTAACAGCGGATGATGGTACTTCTGCGCAAGCGTGCAGCAAGGGCGACCGCTGTGTTTTCCTTTAAGAAGTAGGAATTAGGGTACTGTCGTTCAATATGGAATAAAACCAAGGTACCAAATCTGCGTTTTTCCAGTGCTCAAGCACGAGGTTGCATTCAGGCTTTGATTTTTCCCGGGTACTGCAAGTACCCACGTTAGTTCTGTATTCCGATTGATCTTGTTTGCTACCTGACCACTGCGTGTAGGTAACAGCTCTGCTCCCAGGTCAGCAGCAAGCTACAGGTTGCGGTAGTTCAGTGTTATTCGGTACAGCAGCGGGAGGGCTGCAATCAATCCCAATTAACTGTTTGGGGATGTTGGTTCCTCATCACACCGTCTCTGTGCCACATGAAAAAAGCACAGTGGCATAAATGGCACGATTTAGGATTCAGTGACCCAGATGGCAAAAAATTCCCCAGAGCCAAAATCCTGGGGACTGGTTTTGGACCTCATAGGTGCCAGCGCAGAGCGCACTGGACTCTTTCTCCACGGTAGGTGCCGGGCAGTGTTAGTGCCCAAAGAAGCGTTATGGCCGCCATGTCCCTTGGCGGGATGGGCCCCAGCAGACTCCCACGCTTTCTGGGTGCGGCGCCCCCAGAAGCGGCGGGCCCAGGGTGCAGACAGTGTGTGTGTGAGTGAGTGTGTGAGTGTTTGTGCGTGTGTGAGTGCGTGTGTGTTTGTGAGTGTGTGTGTGTGCGTGTGTGTGCGTGCGTCTGTGTGCGCATGTGTGTGCGTGTGTGTGCATGTGTGTTTGTGCATGTGTGAGTGCGTGTGTGAGTGCGTGTGACTGCGTGTGCGTGTGTGTGCGTGTGTGTTTGTGTGTGTGTGTTTGTGCGTGTGTGTGTGCGTGTGTGTTTGTGCGTGTGTTTGTGCGTGTGACTGCGTGTGTGAGTGCGTGTGTGCGTGTGCGTGTGTGTGCGTGTGTGTTTGTGCGTGTGTGTTTGTGTGTGTGTGCGTGTGTGAGTGCGTGTGACTGCGTGTGTGTG